AGACATCGTAATCTCTTTCTTGTGAGAAGAACAAAGTGAAAGAGTCTTTGTTACTTTTGTTATTTTTGATATTTTAAATAGTTAATTAAATTATTAGTTACTTCAATTAAATAATTTGTAAATTAATTAGTTAGTATAGTTATTCAGAACACTATACCTAATTGAAACACTATTATTTTAATCTTTTCCTCTCTCAAACTATAACAATTTCAATAGAAATTGACATAGAACTTAGATATTATTTTCGCATTCCTTTTATATTTGTTTAATTATCTCTCCCAACTCTTGTTCACGTTTATTAGTTAATTACCCTATCAGTGAAAAATGTGTAACAGCATCTTTCAAAGTTACAGATCTTGTTGAATTAACAAAGAAGTGAATTTCTGGTCTAAAATTGTAATACTTATAGATGAACTGGATAATTGTTATCTGAATTTATTCAATATAAGAGTTTTTTTATAGTAGTAGCATATTGTTCTATACTTTCACTAGATAATTGTTTTCTTTCTTTTAATTATCTTTGCCATTCATAAACTCTATCTTAAGTTCTATATAAATGAAGCAAGTAGATTATTAGTAACTTAATTAGCTGGATTCCATTATGTGAGCCAATTTGTATTTATTCTTTTGTTGGCAAGCCAAGTGATAACAGCTCCTTTTAAGTAAGCTCCAACTATTTGTATTTTTCTATTGTCACTCATTGTATTAACTTGACATGTATTTTCAAAGTCTTGTAATTATTTAACTGAATCTTGAGTATCTTTATAAAAATTAATTATCTTTGTATATTTAACTTTTTTATTGTCTTGTCCTATAGCATATACTTAAACATTCAATTAATAATTAAGTTTTCAAATTGAGTAGCAATTTTTTCTTGATCTGTCATTGTATTATTTTTTTCTATTTGATCTTTTTTGATTTTCTTCTTCTAGAAATTCTTCTTATTGAATTTCTTTATCTACCAATTTTTTGTTAAATTTCTTTATATTAAATAGTTACTGATACTTTTTCTTTCTTTTTAGTATTGAAAGATGATACATGTTATTGACTAATATTTTTACTGATACTTTTTCTTTTTTTTTAATGTTGGAAGATAATACATGTTGTTGACTGATATTTTGGTTTATAATAATTAAATTATATATTAATATTATGCATAATGTTTTGAAAATTTTTGTGCTTTAGTATAGCTATCAAAGCTATTCACAACTTTATTTAAAATTATATTTAATTCATTATAAATAATATTTTGATATATAATTAATACTATCTTTAGAACTCTATATTATATATTGATATATAATATTTATAATTAGAACAAATAATATACAGTAACAATTATAAATAATGCAACAAAAAAATAAAATCAGTCAAATCAAAATATTTTGTACAACTTTGAAGATATTCTCTTTTTTTGATAGTTTTATTCATTAGTAGTGTTATTTAAGGATGGTTGCTGAAATGACGTCTTCTAATTAAATAATTTGCTGAAATTAACTTGCCAAAATTAAATCCGAAATTATTATGACTTATTTTATTAGTAGTCGAAATTGTTTTCCGAAATTATTTGGATTCTACAAATCAAAACAAGCATTTCTAGGTGGTTTTTAAGTATTCATTAATATAAGCAACATAGCAAAACTGAATTATTTGCCGAAATACCATTTTTTCCAAAAATAATTTAGGAGACCATCTTTAGTGTTATTTTTATATATTAATTATTGTTATATTCAATTCTAGAATAAATATATGAATAGTATAAAATATATATTGTATTATATATAATCATTTTATGCAAAAATCAAATAGTTATTGTTATACTATATAAATATCATATAAAAGGAATATTTATTATATATTATTTACATATTTTACTATTTTATAGCATTTTAATCAAAAAGCTAAGAAAAAATATATATATGACTCTAGAAGAAAGAGTTCAAATTCTTCTTTTTCTCCAAAATGAAATATTACAATGCAAATAGCAAAATCAAAAAATATTGACCTCTTAACGGTTTCCTGTATTAATAAAAGATGATGTGAAAGACACTCTCTTGAAGATGTAGCAAAACTAAATTGATCACCCATCATAAGTGAATTAATAAAAAAATTAGCAATCTTATTGTAGATATTCACCCATTATCAGAAGCTCAAACATTTATGATATGATGATAATATTAATATTTCAATATCTACTATTTATCAGGTACTTTGAGACAATGGAATAGTAGCAAAAAACTTTACCTGAGCAAAGAATATTAAAAATATTCGTTGAAATTCACACGAAAATATGAAAATTAGACCATCAGAAACTGGCCAAAGGTAACATGATCAGGTGAGTCAAATTAAGCCTGACACCAAGCAACATTACTGAAAATGTCCAAATGAAATGTTAAATCACTTCTATATATTTCTATTGTGAAGTTTAGAAAGATAATTGGTGATAATATGGATTTCTTTGAATTTCATGGTGTCAGTGGCTTTTGTAAGATTGATGAGACAATGGATACCAAATTATATCAACAGATACTTCATTAAGATTTTATGTATACAATCAAGAAACATAAGTTTGCTATTAAATAGATCATTTTTCAACAGGGTAACGATTCTGAACCTATGGCCAAATTAACAAAGCAACAGTTTATAAACAATAGGACAAAGTACTGTATTGGTTCTCAAATTTCGGATTTAAACTCCATTGAACACTTGTGGAATGAGGTCGATTATTGTCTTCGGTATCTCCCTGGACAAATTTTGAACAAGGATGACCTGTGGAATAAGTTCAATAGGTTTGGCTAGAAATCGATGTTGAAACTTGCACTAACCTAATCCACTCTATGCCAGAAAAGGATTCATGATGTCATTAAGGCACGAGGTGATTATACGAGGTCGTAGAGGTAGAATCCTATCTAATATTAACAAAAACAAAAAAAATCTAATGTAAAAAATGCGATTTAATATATTATATTCGCGTTGTGTTAAAAAAGAAAATAAGTAATGCAACAGGCCAAATTGAATAAAGATATTATTTGCAAAGTATTTGACTTATGAACCCATGTTTAATTTTTGATATCTAAAAATGACACTATTAATGAATAAAAACCATAAAAAAAAAGGATATTTCCCAAGTTGCACGAAATATTTCGATTTAACGGATTGTAATTTTTTGTTGCATTATTTATGATCGCCACTGTATTTTCTACATGCTTAATTAGGAAGTTAATCCAAAATTTTATTCATAATAATGAAAGATTATATCTCTATTGATCTAATAATAACTATGGATTGCTTCCTAATTACGAAGTTAAAGAAGCTAATATACTGATACGATTTGTATTATACCATATGAGTAGTGGCATTCTCACAAGACTAACAGCAATTTATTTTTGCGTAACACAATGTGATAAGTTTGACATTTAACTAGTTTTTTATACATGTAGCATGAATGACTAAGATATAAATAACATAGCGATAATAATTTTTACGTTGTATTATTCATTTTGTGGTATATACCACCTTGAAATGATGTTTACGTTGTATTGTTCATTTTGTGGTATTATTCATTTTGTGGTATAACACCTTGCAAATATTGACTTAAATATAATTTCAATTTTCCAATGTCGTTTGCAATTGCATGCATTTCAGCTCGTAATTCTTTTCTTAAGCGTTTAACCTGTGGGTCATAGTAAGAGATACCTATTGAACGGTATGCGTTGCCATATCGATATGATATTTGCTGATTTTTATTTAATGTGTTTGTGTATGGGGATACGGTTGGTGGAGGTGGAATCGATTTAAGAATCTATAGCGATAGAATTTGATTAACGTTAAAATCAAATATAGTGAAAGTCCGCTAATAACAGATATGATTTTATATATATATGAAGCTGTCCCAAAGGATAGGCGAATCCACTATCACTATCGCTATGTCTATGCGACATTTTTTATAAATAAAATTTCAATTAAACTTACATATCTTTGAACTGCACCCCACGGATCAAGACGTTTTGATCCAAGCAAAAAGAAATAAAGTGCACTTAAAAGGCTCACAAAACCACCCATATTAGCAGCCAACTGAAGAAATGGGAATTCAATGCGCTTATACGAGACTTCCACATGATAAGTTTGGGTGAACGTTGATTTATCAAAATTATGAATTTGTGGAATAATTCGAAAAATGCACCAAAGATTAGGGCCAACTTCAAATCCAGGTAACTTCGAAGTGGTAAATAATTTGGTTAGTTCCACATCTGAAGTTGAATCATAAGCTGTATCTCCCATGCTTCCACCAATGATTGGGGCAGATCTGACAACTTGTTTT